TTGATTTCCTAAATTACACAATATTTCAAAACGTATTGACGAACCTTTTATGTTGTTCAAGATTGCATTGAAAATCTTAAACCTCATTCAAATTGAGAATATTGTCGAATCTAGATAATTGCCTATTGCATACGAAAGTGCCTGTGTCTTTTTCAAATGAGTCAAACTGTCCAAAAAATGAACAAATGTATACGTTTTGTCTAGAAATTCATAAAAAAAGTAACATATTGCATAAACATGGGGTTGTCATTGATTTTTTTTAATTTTTCATATTAATAGAACATATGTGTACATGGGATAAGATTGATTTATGACGAGGATAAAAATGAAGATGTTTGCATAACTTGTGTATTATAAAAACTCAGTTGTAAAGCTTGAAGCTTGTTATGAGAATAATTGAATAAGCACAAAAAATGCATGTTAGTCAGGGGGACTCGATGGCCTTAGTAGTTCATCCACTATATCAGTAGCCCGTCAGCGCTGAGGTTGTGATTTCAAACCCCGCATCTGGTTGGTGTATTAGACTCTTAATCTTAATTGACTAGGTTTGCCTGTTTTCCTGCCGAAGGTCAATAATTCTCTCCGGGCATTACGGCTGCCTTTAAAAATAAAAACTAGCCAACACATAAATAGCCAATAGAAATGAAAGTGGCATTAAGCACAATCAGTCAATCAATCAATACATCATAATAGTCAGTTTAGAACAATAAAAGTTACAGATACAAGTTCTTTGTATCATTCTATTTTTATTAAAATCTAGATTGTTCCCTTATATCAAATCAATGTTTTGATAACATTGGTGAGGTAGATCACCATTAAACAAGATTTAAAATTTTCATTCGTATTTCAGAATCGTCATATTTTTAATTGATATGCCTTGATCGTGTATCAACAATGAAATAAACAAATATGAAAAAAGTTTAAAAATATACATACAAAGATTCACAAATTTATCAACCCTATATGTCATTTAGTGTGAATTGTGTATTTTTTCCTTGTAAAATGTTATATTTCTGTGAGCATTTCACATGTTTGAACAGTATGCCTATTATATGTATAAAATCTTCCTGATTTTAATTGATCCAACCAGGTCTGCTTGATATATAAAATGATTTTGAGATATTCACAAGTATGTCTGAATAAAACCAAATATGTATTCTAAAGGTTAAGAAGCTTTTATCATTTCATTTGAAACATTTTTATTTTAAACGGTTAAAAAGAACTGTTTTAAAACTTTCCCTATGGCCGTGATTAGTAAATTTATATATTTAAATCAGATCCGCATATTCCTTTTTATATGCAATTCTAAATGATATTGGTTTTTCTCATTGTTGAAGCCTATATTTAGGACCATATGAGAATTTGGATCATACGTGTATGATCCGAATAATTAATACGATGACCGTTAAAAATTAAACGTTACTGTAAATATCATAGGGTAGCATGCTCTCTCAAGATTTTATACAACAATTATGACTTATTTAATCATATGTTAATAATTGTTACATGATAAAAGAGAAAAAAAATTATGACAGTTTAAATATATATTTCAAACATTTTTATTATATTCATTATTGATTTTTCCTTACGAAACACAATATTATGGCCTGGTAGAATGGTTGCAAGAACTAATTTGTTGTACTGTTTTTTTAGCCATGGCGTTGTCAGTTTATTTTCGACTTGTCAGTTTGAATGACCCTCTGGTATATATTGCCTCATTTTCAAGAAGAAGTCACCCGTTTTACTAACAGGCACTTAGAGCATTGAACCGTTCCTTATATTTAAGTGTTTCAATTCGTTTATATTTCAATTTGTTTTATTCTTTAAAGTGTTTTTGCTGCTATTCATACGATCTTGCAATACCAGTAGTTTATACGTTTTGTCCCTATATTCTTCTGAGGAAGAAAATAAAAATAGAGGGGCTGCACGTATTAATTACTGTTATTGTAAGCTTGTATAAATAGGACCTATCCAATAAATGAAAATAAGCAAATATTAGAAGATTATTTACGAATAAAAACTAATCAAAATACTTCGGGAAGAGATTATAAAAATACTTCGTTCCAAACGTATATTGTTTCACTTACGAACAAAAAAGTCGACAGGATACAGGCGCTTTGAATTGACGCTAGCGAAAGACAAGATAACAGATACACTTAGATTCCGACAAGATGTCAAAATAAAGGATTTCGGTTATTAACTACTGTGGATTCATTTATTTTCGTGGGTACCAATTTTCGTGGAATAAGGAAAACTTATATATTCGTGGATATTTAATTTCGTGGTTTTGCCAAAATCTGCATACAAGCCTATAGAAAATTTGTCATTCGTTAAACATTTAATTTCGGGGTTCACCTGTACCAACGAAATCCACGAAAATTGGTATCCAACGAATAATAAGGAATCTACAGTAACATACAATTAAAAAGATGTTGTATACATCAAGACTGTTTTACCCAAATGGCGAGCCAAGAAATGCAACCTAAATTGCATTGCTAAAGATAAGTATTTTTGAAAATAATCAAGAAATATTGAAAGATTTATTATCGTTAATGATTAATACCTTTATCTAGAATATGACATACATGGAAAATCCATCTTACTGTCCCCATTAGTAAATCAATTTTTCATTTCAGCCTGAACAGCTCTTTTAATACGAACACTAAATTATTTAGTCCTCTTATGTCATTTAATTAATTTTCTGACATACGTGTATACCCTACAGTAAATTTGGCACTGTTCAGAAAATTTGACTACCGTCAGTTTAGATCTGTTTTATGTTAAATATAAAACTAAAAGAACCAATAGATTCAAATGTACAAAACATCAACATACCAAATTGTCTAAAAGATGCGGATCCGTTTTATTATATAATCATTCGTTTACTTACATTGTGTCGGGAAAGTGAGAGGTTTAGCGCTATAAAACCAGGTTCAATCCACCATTTTCTACATTTGAAAATGGCTGTACCAAGTCAGGAATATGACAGTTGTTGTCCATTCGTTTGATGTGTTTTATCATTTGATTTTGCCATTTGATTAGGGACTTTCCGTTTTGAATTTTCCTCGGAATTCAGTATTTTTGTGATTTTACTTTTTATGTCGACTGCAAACTAAATGTCAATAGAAAATGTAAAAGACTTAGCGAATTTAGATTCAAGTTTTACAGTTAATGATTAATTTTTAGACGAAAATGCATTTAGTTGTGCCCTGTTCTAAGTCATTGTTACATATTTAAACAGTTCGACCCCTAGAACTGATCCTAACATATCTACCTAAGACCAGTTTTGGACAGTTCTCTTCTATATAGATATAGGAAGATGTGGTATGAGTGCCAATGAGACAACTCTCCATTCAAGTAACTATTTATAAAAGTAAACCATTATAGGTCAAGGTACGGCCATAGTCTACTAATTTTCAAAGCTTTATTTATGACAGATTGTTTGGACATTTTACAGAAGGTAAGATATAATTCCACCTACACATTGACAATGATTTAGAGTGCTAATATTTCCTTTTTTTATGCAAATCGTGTGCCAGCTTTAAATTCAGTTCTTTTTGTACCTCGGATAAATGTTTTTACGAATAAACGACTATATAATCATTCGTTTACTTAAATTGTTGTCGGGAAAAATTAGAAGTGCCCAAATTTCTTATTTTTCTTCAAGGAAAACATTTCATGCAAAATTGGATACAACTTACTAATGATTTTATATCAAATTATGAAATTAAGACTAATTTTGACAAGAAATAGATGTCATTCCCCCCCCCCCCCCCCCCTTCCAAACACACACAAATTAGTTTTTAAAGAATATGTGTGACACATATTATTACAACCCGTTAGCAACTGACTAGACACACACAAAGTACACGCACATGTACTCGGGTGCACATTGTAAATTCCCATTTTGACCGTGTTAATGTTTTTACATTATACGAACGTTTATTAAACCAGTTTGTCTTAAAATGTCCTGTACCAAATCAGGAATATGGCAGTTGTTAGCACACTGTACGTTTCTATGCATTTGGCGTTTGCTTTTGTTGTAGTTCAGTGTTTCTTTTGTTCCGTTGTTATCCTCTTATAATTGATGTGTTTCCCTCGGTTTTAGTTTGAGTCCCGGATGTTTTTTTGCTTAATCGAATTATGACTATTGCAAAGCGATATACTACTGTTGCCTCTATTGATAAGAAAACGAAATTCGTGCAATTGTCTTTAAAGGTTATGTTATGTTTGGTTTGCATCAAAGCGTATTTCATTTGATCAGTATTAATAGTAAAGTGGTCATGTCGACTATTGCTTCGGGGAAAGATTAACATTCTAGCTTACTGGTGTTTTGATTTTATTCTGTTCACAGATAATATATTATAGTTATTTAATTTATAAGAATTAAAAGACAAAAAAAAAAAACACACAATCGTTTTTTTCGCAGTTTTTGTTTTTGTTTTTGTTTTTATTTGTTGTTAGTTGTTTTTGTTTTCTTCTTATTTAGTTCATCATAATAACATTGTTTCTGGAAATAATCAGCCACGTGTGGTCTACTTATGACTTAAGAAAAATCTTGTTGCTTTACTATTTGATATATATTGAAATAGTGGCATGTCTATGCTTCACGCTAAAGTATAAGATACTATTGCTTTCATCCTTAAAATGCTTTAGCATACTATTTTACACAATATATATCTATTTTGCAGTGAAAGTATACAGTGGATAATACCGTACACCCAAAACCAGGAGAACTTCTTTAAGCTGTATAAATTTGTACATCTTTATGGGACAAATATAAACCGTGAATTATTGCAGAAGTTTATTGATTTAACAGGTGTAACGCTAGAAAAATTTATAAACGATAATCAGCATGAAATTTATTATTTTTTCTGTGATTTACCTTGTTGTCAATGTAAAAGGAACGCTGTATCGTATAAGTGTGCAAGAATCAGCAATAAAAAACAAATGCTTATAATTTTTGACAAATAGTCCAATCGCCTTGACTACCGTAAACAACAAAGACAACGACAACTTTGTTGTTTGAAGGCAACTAATAATGTAAAGCTGACAGATCTAGATCTTACTTTTATTCGATTCTTTCTTGTTAATTTTTGTTTTGAAGTATTTTGGGATTGCCATTTAAGGTATGTCAAAAAGACCTTTTCAGATTTCCTAGATGAAAGTGTACACAAAGTTTATCACTTATCGGTGAACAAGATATGCTGCTGCAAATTTAATACAGACAAGGATACTCCTGAAAAACGAATTAGCGAATCGCAGTTTGAAATCATTTTTAAAAAGGAGGGTACACCTTGTCAAGCATATTGCTCTTGTTTGTATAAGATAAACAGTGATATAACCTTACCTTCACTGATAAATCGGGATAAGGATTTGACTACTGAATTAACAAGGTACTTCTGTTCGTGTCATAAATATCTTGAAGATATTATTGAAATTCGGAACGAGATTGTCCATGTGTTGTCTGATTGTAGCATCAACGATGCTACATTTTAGCAATTTTGGAATACAATAAAAAAAAAGCATACTTGGTAGTGCAAAAGCTTTAAACAAGCATGACGTTTATGATGAAAATTTGCAAGAATTACAGAAGGAGTACAACAATTCGTGTTTTCAGAAGCAAGTGGTCGACTGGATAAAAAAATCCGAACAAGTAAGTATAGGACTTATATTCATGTATTTAATAAAAGCCTTAATAATCTTAATTATTCTTGATATTATATATAATACATTTTAACAACGAGATACATTTTTGTACGTTGTATATTTATAACTATATAATTTGTGACGTTAGAAAATATTACGGATGCCATCACTTGTTGGTTGACCATTCTGCAATATTTGATTCACAAATGACGACAAATATATTGCAATTGTTATAACCATTATCCTTTTTCAATTGTATGTGACATTACCACACAAGACTTATTTTGGGGCCCTTTATAGCTTGCTTTTCGGTGTGAGCCAAGGCTCCTTGTTGAAGGCCGTACTTTGACCTATAATGGTTTCCTTTTTACAATGCACTTAGATGGATAGTTGTCTCATTGTCACTTATACCACATCTTCTTATATCTAATTAGCAACCAAGTTTGTATTAACATTAACAACTTGACGGGGGTAACTTGATGTGCACGGCCTTGCTACCCTACCTCATGTTTTGTTTTGTAATCTGGAGTTTGCTTTTTGTTCGTTGTTCGTTTTCCCTCATAATCATTTTAATTGGTATTCCTGGTCTCTGCAATAACTTATTATTTTAGAAAAAAATAAGGATAACTTGTTGTATTACATTAGTGTAAATCTATTTGGATATATCTGCTCCACTATTCGTTGTAATAGTAGGTAAATGCAGAAATATTGGCCAAAATAACTGATTTAACTGAGGGAAAGGTTATGGCAATTCTGGAAGATATTAATCCGAGAACATCTAACAGTGGTAAGTACTATCTATCTATCTATCTATCTATCTATCTATCTATCTATCTATCTATCTATCTATCTATCTATCTATCTATCTATCTATCTATATATATATATAGATAGATAGATAGATAGATAGATAGATAGATAGATAGATAGATAGATAGATATATAGATAGATAGATAGATAGACATCTAACTGTGGATTCATTTATTTTCGTGTGTATCAATTTTCGTGGATTGCAGAAAACTAGACTTTTATTGATATGTGATTTCGTGGTTTTGGCAAAGTCTTCATACAACCTATAAGAAAATTTGTAATTCGTTTAACATTTTAATTCGTAGTTCACCTGTTCCCACGAAAACCACGAAAATTGGTACCTGACGAATAATAATGAATCCACAGTAATTAAAAGCGCATCTTCATCATCATATTGATAGAGAGAATAATTTTGATTAGGGACTATCCGTTTTGAATTTTCCTCGGAGATCGGTATTTTAGTGTTTTAACCTTTTAACTGTCTTTTTGCAATATCATAAATGGAGTATAACAAAACTTCAGTAAAGCCTTACAAAATTGTTTGCAGCATGAAAATGAAAATTGAAAATGAATAGAAAAAACATTTCACTTCATATTCGACGTATGTAACACAAAATTCAAACAAGGTCTCAAATAAAACAAATTACAATTATCTCAAGTCTTTGTCATTGATTTCAAAATATTTTGTTCCATGCCTTTTTTTTTGGTCAATTTTTAAGAACTAACGTAAATGAATATCGATAACAAGCAAAGATCAAAACGCAGTGTAATTCACATTTGAACTTTACCTCAATATCAGGGTCATTCAGCAAGGAACTGAAATCAAACGACTGTAGGTCACTTATATGTATTTTGTATGCGTTTACTCATCATAATTCTGATTTAAGACATTACGGAGATTGCCTCAAATAGAATGTCATCGTAACATTTCGATATAGATATGTTTATACAATAACATGAATAATACAGTTTTTGAGAAACAAGCATAAAACAAAAGGTGTTTGGTTATACGAATCAGTTCAAAAGCATATCAAATAAGAAAGAAATTGTACCAAATATCTTATAGACATATTGCGCACCCAATAAACAGCACAAAAAAGAGGGTGGGAGAAAATAGAATAAGCCTTAAGGTCTTAAAGCATGCACGTGTTTCGAATAATTTAATATGATATAACAGTTCGTTTACAGACATGCGTTTCGCCTACATTAGAGTCATTGGCGCTTGAATAAAAAAAATCAACTAGTTAAAAGGAAGGCTAAATCGAAAAATAAGTTAAACAGCATTAAAAATGGAAAAGTGTGAAAAATTGTGCCAAAATACGGCAAAAGCAATCTTTGCCAGGTGTAGAATAATTCAACATCTTATAACAGTTAATTGTCACAAATATCAATACTATGTCAAGTCAACACAACAGCTCTGACTAGTGGGCGTGTGATTCTCTTTGAGATGAAACACCATACAGCTTTGGTATTAACCCAATGGTTGTAAAAACTCTCCAAAGTCTTATAATGTGGTGCGCCATATTCGTGTTTCGTCTGCATTAGACTCACCAGTGGTGCTCGAATAAAAACAGTTAGAAGGTAATACAAAAAGTTGAAAAAAACATCATAAATCGAAAATTTCAAAAAGTTGTGCTATATGTGGGTGAGTCAATCTAGGCCAGGGGATGGTACAAAAAAGTATGTGTTCGAACAGTTCAATTCTATTAAAACTGTACGTTTACAGAAAATGAACAAGTCATTGGTATTTGATGTCAATACAAAAGTACGGTACTGCTAGCCTGGTGATACCGTAGGGCGGCATGGACCAATTTTGTTAATTTGAGAAAAATCATGAAGATAGATACATTCACTGCATCATATCATGATATGATATATATAAGTAATTTATTGCGAAAGCAAGACTTTTATTGTGTTAACATATGTTTTATAAATATATTAGCATGATACATTTCTGTAAACGAAATGAAATACATGATCGAAAATAACTTTTCAAAATATTTTACCTAAACATAATTTCTTAATCTAATTTAAAGGTTGTGTTGTGAGCGTTGAAGTCAGTTTAAAAGATATAGCCATAGCTGTACGTAAGAGAAATACATCAGAGTGCTCCGCTGAGTATCCTGGGGAAATGGGTAACTATATATAACAATAATGAGTTGGTTGAACGTTATGACATTACTGTTTCATGGATAACTAATAATATGTTCCAATTGTCGAATTGACGGTCACGCCCTTTTTCCTCGAATTTGATCTACCGGATTAGAATAATCATTGGGTTTGTACTTACATGAGCAACACAACAGGTGCCATATGTGGAGCAATCAATTCAGACCGGTTCGTTAGTTTTTTCAGACAATTCAGTACGATGTTGATGTGAACAGGTAAATACCAACTACTGCACTTTGCACCTAGACTGAACAGATCTCAATTGACTGCAACCAAATTGTCTGAACATAACCGAATTTTTCAATGTAGACATGTCTGAAAAATTTCCTTAAAGACGGAAATGACTTAATAATGTATTGTTCAGATCAAAATGAGCGTTTCAAATCAAAATTAATGTACTAGTGAAATAAGGTTCAATCAAATAAATACACGCTGCTTAACCAATATTGTACATCGATGTTAAAACATATCATCACTACATGAAGAGGATATCTGCCTTTAGTTGAGCAACACAAATCTTGAATGGACAGCGTTTACATTCGACTGATTTCAATCTTACTCGACCATTCTGTTCCAGTCTGATTTTTACTGGAAATTACTTGACCACAATCTTAACCATAATCGACTCTAATCTGGACCTTACTTTAAATCTGAACAAGTACTCGACCAATCTGTAACAGTCTAATAGAATTGAGAATGGAAACAGGGAATGAATCAAAGAGAAAACAACCCGACTTAAGAGCAGAAAACAGCCCAAGCCCACCTTATTGGCCTGTACTTGACCCATTCTTAACCTGTTTGCAATGTCTGAATCATTGTCAGTTAGAAGTTTAAACTGTACTTGATCAATTCTTAACAATACTCGACCATTTTATATCCATGTTATCAAACTTGATTGAATGATTCAGGCAAAGATAAAGTCGGTATGATATATCTTTTATAAAACGAACTGAACTAACCGATAGGCATATTTTTGCTATTTATTTCATATGTTATCTGATCGTTTTTGCTTATGATCGTCTTCTTTTCGATTTCAATGGCAAGATTGTAATACAATTTCTCTAATAAAGTAGCTCCTTTTCATCAACCTAACCCAATCTTATATAGTATCTTTCGTAATTCTGCATTGATCATTCCCATATGTATGAGTTCGCTTTAAGTGTGGTTGAGTTTTGAATTATGTTGATATGTTTTTAAATTATTGTAACCTACAGTATTGCTATATAAAGTATATGACTATGATTGACTTCCACAAATTTAATATCGGCTGTAAAACTTAATTGTTGTTAAAATATACTTATCCTATGTTTTCCAGAAGTAAAGTTCAGTGTGAATATCCCAAATATGTGTACAAAGAAGCAAAGTGAAGACAGCCAAGGTATAAAAAAATCAACAAAATAACCTTCTATGTTAAAAAAAATATTATGAAATATTTTATTGCTTAATTTTAATATACATGTATGTCGAAATGTTTAATCTAGAAACATAGATTAAAATCGTGTACCCTAAATGACTCATCAGTGACGCTCGAAGCAAAATAGATAAAACGGCAAAATAAAGTACGAAATTGAAGAGCATAGCGGACTCACTCAAATATTAAAATAGACACTTACACAACATCAAAGAAATAACAGCTTGATAATATAGATGTACGATTCGTCTATATTAGACTCAACAATGGTGCTTGAATCAAACAGTTGAATAACCAAATCACACACGCAATTGAAGTGCATTGCAAAACACACAAATTCATAAGCGTTGTGCGAAATACGGCTAACGTAATTCTTGATATGAAAACAATAACACACATTATGTCAAATCATTTTTAATTTGCTTCTTATTCATTAAACTGATCAGAAATCCGTGTGGTGCTTATTTACCGTATATTTATATACACATGTATATATAAGTGTGATTTACAACCTCTAAGTCTAAGTCTCTAGTGTTAACGTGTAATATATAATGCATGTTATTCTATTGCAGAGAGTGAAGACGACCTTTCGGATATAGGTAAAAGTATAACATGACATTAATATTTTACCTCAGTAATATTCTAATTATAACCAATGCTTTTCTTGTTTTCTGGTTCGTTGAGTTTTCAGTACAATTTATGACCAAAATTTTTATGCATTTTCCGGACATGACCAAGGAAATAATATTACACTTTATAAACCTTATGGAGTCGGTCCAACTTGGTAAAAAGTTCAGCTAAATATGGCCAAATATTACTAACATTAAACAATAAAGTGTTACATTTCTCGAAATCATTTACTTGCAGGAATAATTTAATTTTAAGGCAACATCAAGGATCTTTTTTTTTATTACAGCTGGTTTTTTTTCTCAATCCGCCCTAAAAAAAATTAACAATATAATTAACACGATGACACATACGGACATTCTGGCAAATTCGTATGAAAACGTGACCAGTTCATAACCAATCAGATGCTTTGTTATAAAATAATAAACTTCTTATCATACTAATGTAGAACACACATTAGATGTTTATTTTGATTAGATTCATAATGAACTGGAAAATATGCATATCGAAATTCATCTTTTATGCATATATACAAGACCATAAACGGATGAAATACTATATCATTACTGTACACAATCAAATTCCTGTAAACTTTTTCTCATAACTTTATTAAACAAGTTTTTGTTACCTCCGTCATGTCGTTATGCATTTTATTTGTAGACGATCCAAACGATACTTTTATATGTGGAATATGTAAAAAGGACTTTATTCAACTGGATGAGTTTTTTAGACATAAAAAGAAATGAAATATGGTAAATATTACCTTAAAAATTAGAAATGAACGTTAAGGTGGTATCAAACGCCTGGACTTGATTAAATTTTCTTAAAATTGTCACAAAATATTCACTTTGACCCTTTAACAAAAATATCAAAATTTTCAAAACACTTGAACCACACACTTTATCGGAAACGTTTCATTGGATATATAGCAGTTTGACAAACACTAATTTTGATCATTAAGAAGCTTAACATTTCCTTAACAACAGAACGTGATTAAAACGTAAAGCTGATTTTTACAGAGTAGTCTCCCTGTAGTGTTATGTACCACCTTAATCATATACAGTATTGTATTTTGTTGATTATTCGCATCGTGCATATTGTTTAATGCTACACAAATCAGATTATATTTTGATCATTGAGAAGCTGAACATTTCCTTAACAATAGAACGTGATTAAAACGTTAAGCTGATTTTTACAGAGTAGTCTCCCTGTAGTGTTATGTACCACCTTAATCATATACAGTATTGTATTTTGTTGATGATTTGCATCGTGCATATTGTTTAATGCTACACAAATCAGATATATATATAAGTCAATTAAATTCACATATGAAATTTCCGACTCTAAAATATCTTTCATGGATACAACTACATCTATAAAGGACGGTGTCATATCAGCACACTTCTACTGTAAACCTACAGATAAACATCAGTACCTTTCTCCCCAAAGCTGTCACCCAAAACACTGTACAAAAAATATCCCGTACAGTCAAGCTCTCAGAATAAAGCGGATTTGCTCCTCTGAGGAGGCTGTCACTAAACGGTTACAGGAACTTTGCGGATTTTTGACAAAACGAGGTTATAAGAACTGGGATATAGATAAGGGGTTTGCGCGTGCTAACAATAACAGCCGCAATGACCATTTTACAGTACAAACAGAAACGGCGAAGCGAAATAGTTCCGTTTGTTTTAACATACAATCCCGCCTTTACTAACCTCTCCCGTTTGATCCGTGCCAATTGGCAGATTATTGCCAAACATCCAAAAATATCCAAGATCTTTCCCAAACCTCCTGTTAAGCTTTTAGGAGACCAGGAAGTCTGAAAGACTTATTTTTGAGAGCTAATGTCTCCTCTAATAAAAGCTCTTCAACTATAGGATGGTGCAAGTCGTGTGGTAACAGACGACGTCTGACTTGCCAACAAATACTAAACACTAAAACATTTACTTGCCACTTCACTGTGTCCGTATACACTATATATTGCAATGTAACTTGCAAAACCCAGAATGTTGTATATCTTCTTCAGTGTCGTTGTGGCATGCAGTATATTGGCGAGACAGAACAGCCATTCAACAAACGCATGAATAGTCATCGAAGTGACTACACCTCCCCGTAAGTCGTCATTTGAGATCACCTGGGCACGCCCAAGCTGTTCTAAAAAACCTTACCATTACTATCATAGACCACAACGAGGGTTGGTTAAGGGCCGACAGACTTGCTCGGGAAAGTTTTTGGATAAGGAAGTTATGGACAGTTTCCCCAGAGGGCATTAATGACAAAACATAGAATGAGTCCCTACCATCACTTGTTTCCAGTAACTCAGGCTTCAGAACAGGACTCTTACAGTTTTAAGGAATTTATTCCACCTCCAAAACATCAATATTGAAAAATTTACCAGCGTATTGATTGGTGATAATTTGTATAACGATCATGATTACTATTACAGTTTATTACTAAGATCAGAATCATTTGATATCTTACTGATAAAGGATATTAGTTATTCGAAATATTTAACATTTGGTCATGATTTTATATTTTTTTAGGTGATGTTTTACCCTTTTAGACTTGCTTATTATATATATGTATATATATATACATATCAGTGAGCTTTTATTTGAAATTAGATATGAACCCATTCAAAGCGGTAGTCTGTCCAATGTGCAAAGTGTATAAGCTGCTTACATTACTGACGTTGTTAAAACATTGATGAGTTTAACGATATCAATTTCACTGTACCATTTTACTACGCAATTCAACAATGAATGTCTCTTTAGAAATGTTCGATGCCAAAATAGTTTAGTTTCCAAAATGTATATAAATATTTTAAAGATGATAAAACAAATACAAACATTAGATAATGGTTGTGATATCACACATCAGAAAAAAGTGAAATAACAAAAATACCGAACTGCAAGGGAAATTCAAAACGGAAAGTCCTTTATAAAATGGCAAAAATTAAAAGCTCAAACACATCTTACGAATGGAAAACAACTGTAATATTCCTGACTTGGTACAGGCATTTCCTTATGTAGAAAATAGGGATTAAACCTGTGTTTTATATCTAGCTAGATCTCTCACTTGTTTGAGACTTGTATTGAATTCCAGAGAGCATGCATGTAATTAGAAAGACTGAACATTTTCAAAAGCTTCAACTTTAGTCAGAATGACGGGAAATCCAATCGAATCTTTCAAATACGTTAAAGATAAAATGCGTTAAAAATCGAGCATCGTTTTTGTTGACGATATCAAAGTTTAAAGCACACCAACGTTCCTCACGTTCACAGCTTTAAAATATAAGTCTTCTTGCCGAATTGTTCCTTTATTCAAATGAGACTGACTTCATAGAGGAACTTCTTAGGAAGAAAGTAAAAAGATTAGCAGTATCCTTTAACTTCACTTTCAGCTATATAGATGATGTTCTCTCAATAAATAATTCAAAATTTGGTGACGTCTAGTATGTTGAACGTATCTCTCCCATCGAACTTGAGATAAAGGATACATCAGATACAGTTCAGTCTGCATCATATCTTGACTTTCATCTATCAATAACAGAGGCTCGATTAAAAACAAACTTTACGACAAAAGAGATTATTTCAGCTTCCCAATTGTGAACTTTCCATTTCTATGTAGCAACATTCCAGCAGCGCCTGCATACGTAGTATATATCTCCAAGTTGATACGATATTCCAGGGCTTGTATTTTCCATCACGATTTCCTTGATAGAGGGTTGCTGCTCACAATGAAGCTAATAAACATTTGTTTCAAGTGATAAAATTGAAATTATTCTTCAGGACATTTTACGGACGCCATCACTAGTTGATTCACCGTTATGGAATATCTGTTTCACAGATGACAACGGAAATGTTCCAATTGTCGTAACTACAAACCGGTCCCCTTTTCCCCGAATGTGAGCTACAGGATAAGATTTATTTCCGGCTTTGTACTAACTTGATTAACACCACGTGTGCCACATGTGGAGCAGAATCTTTTTACACTTCCGGAGCACCTGCGATCATCCCAAGTTTTTGGTGGCGTTCGTGTTGCTCAGTCTTTAGTATTTTATGTTGTGTTTTGTGTCTTGTGTGTTTTTTCTTGTTTTACCATGACGCAGTCACTGTATTGTCAAATGTCCCTGTTGTATCGTTCGCATGTTTTTTTATAAAGCAGATTAAGATCTCGTTTTCATAGACTTGAAAACAGAAATCTAGTTTTTTGTGCATGTGTTAGATATACATTGTAGGATATTTGTTATTCTCATCGTATTTTGTCAAATGTCTTATCGTTTGTAGTTGTAAATCTTATTTTTTTCTGTTGTATTCGTGTGTTATGGTAAAGATAGTTAATTACCCAGTTCATTAATTAGATTTTAGTTTGGTCAACTAAATTTGTACGATAGATTTGGTTTACAGTTTGATTTAGAAGAAACACCAACATAGCTAGCTAATACTATTAATTATCTAATTACTACCACATTTTATATCAATTAGTATTGTAATTTTCATTGTTATTAATAAATGTTATATGATTATTATAAACCAAATCTTGAATTCTATCCTAATTCTATCCTATTTTGGGGAAATTTCAGAAATTCAAATGTGGCGTCACCTTTTTTTGCGTTGATCTCTTTGGCTAACTCGGCTGTGAATTTTTATGTGCTGGATTATGTTGTTTTATGTATCCGTTTTTATTCTGTTGTTAGTCACCACTTCGGTGTTATCATGTATATCTATTATACAGTCATGTTTATAAATTTACTGTTTGCAAAAGTATGAATTATTCTAAATACTAAGGATTTTCTTATCCCAGACATATAACCTTAGCCGTATTTGGCACAACTTTTTGGAACTTTTGGTCCTAAATGCTCTTCAACTTTGTACTTGTTTTGGCTTTCGAACTTTTTTTATCTGAGCGTCACTGGTTCGTCTTGTGTGGACGAAACGCGCGTCTTGTGTATTAAATTTTAAACCTGGTACCTTTTGTAAGCTATTATTTGTATGTTTCTCTGTCCTATATGTTCTCCCAGTTAGTTGTATTGTAGTCCTGTCATGTAATGTTGTCATTTTAATGTTATATTTAACATTGCCATAAAAGCGGGAGGTTTGGCTAGCCACAAAACCAGGTTCAACCCACCATTTTTTTCTTGAAATGTCCTGTGCCAAGTCGGGAAAATGGCCATTGTTATATTATAGTTCGTTTCTGTGTGTGTTACATTTTAATGTTGTGTTTCTGTTGTGTCGTGGTTCTCCTCTTGTGTTTGATGTTTTTCCCTCAGTTTTTGGTTTATGGCCCGGATTTGTTTTTTTCTCAATCGAATTGTGGGTTTCGAACAGCGGTATACTACTGTTGCCTTATTTATTGACCTTTTAAAAGAATGGAAAATAAATTAATTTGTTTACAGATACGATATTTAGAAACAATACGTTTTTAGATGCATTATTGGTGTTTTTCTCAAAATATATTCAAATAATAATTGAATAACAGATTATTCATTTAAAAATAGTTTATGCAGAAGATATAACTTTAATTTATTTACTTTAGAAAAAAGAGAAGCGGACGATACAAAAAATCACTCATCAATGGTAACTAAAAGTTAAGTTTTCATTATTATTTTTGTTGGTAACAAAAGATGTGTATGTGATCCTCATAAACTTGGAATAATGTTAAATAAAGACCATTTATGTTTTTGTAGAAAGAAAAAAGGACAGTAGAACGTAATCCAAGAAGAAGTAAGAAAATAAGAAATATATGATGACTATACCTATAAAAAGAAATATGTAGACATAATTCCTTTCAAAATAGTATTGTCTTGAAATGATTTGTTTTTTAAGAAATATCAAAACTACTAAAACACTAAATCCCTGGGATGTGTTTTAATTGGCTTTAGTCCCTGATACATGATTTTTATTATTAATTGTTTTTGGCTTTTAACTAGCTTTCAGAAACTGCGAGTACTTTCAAATCGTACTTTCGTGATAATTTTACCTGTTACACAATTTGTAATGCATTTTTGTTATTCAATGTATACTTATTTTGAGTTATATCTTGTCTCACTATTTTTAATACGTACTACCGTTGATAAGTATTTAGTATGACAATACATTTTCACTTTTATCCTCGTACCGTTAACAACAAATTTGTTTATTTTGTAATATATAAAAAAAAATTTCCGTACTCCTTACAACAAAATTATTATATTCAAATTTTCTTGTGAACGTTATTTTATCGAACGCTATTTTGTCCCAGTTAGAGTTGATGTGGTTCATACGTGTTTCTCGTTTCTTGTTTTTTATATAGATAAGACCGTTGGTTTTCCTGTTTAAATTGAGTTACACTAGTCATTTTGGGGCCCTTTATAGCTTGCTGTTCGCTGTGAGCCAAGGCCTTACTTTGACCTATAGTTCTTTACTTTTTACACATTGTAACTTGGATCAAGAGTTGTTTCACTGGCACTCATACCACATCTTCTAATTTCTGTTAACAAAAATAACGGACGTAAAGCTAAAATCAAAAAGTGGAAAGTCCATAAAAGCTGACAAAATCAAACGTTAGATTACATCAATCAAGGTAACGAATGAAAAGCAACTAATATCATGCCTAATTATAATAATGATCGACCTGAATAGTAACATATACTAATAAGAAATCCTCTTCAAGAATCAAATTATGATGTATTCCTATTGTAATTGTATAATCATACCATAAAATTGAAAATTGAAACGGGGAATGAGTCAAGGAGACAACATCCAAATGAAAGAGCAGAAAACAGCCCAAGGCCACCAATTGGTCTTCAGCACAGCGAGAAATTCCGCACCCGGAGGCGGGATTCATGTACATGTATATTTGTAGAACCTCAATTGAATCATATTATATAGCTTGGCTGATACTTTGAATAAAACAATAACTACAAATAAGTTAATTTACATCTTAATCAACATGAAAATATATTCTCGTCTGTTGAGTCACCTGGTGTCCCTCGTCTGTTAGTGTCAATATGATTTGAAACTGTCCACTTCCATTTACTTCTACAATCCAAATACCTGTGAAAACCGAACAAAGAACAAAGTCTTAAGGGTGATTTGATTCGACAGGTTTATCTGTACATTGATATATTATCTCTTCTTGAAATTGTCCAATGCATGCTCTTTTACAGAAATATTCTACCAAATGAAGATAACAGGAGCTGGTAAACGGTGGACAACAACTTCAATGAATATGTTTCAGAGTAAATCAGACTATTTCAATACTGACAAAACTGAAGTTTGTCATCTTGAATCAAGTTGTTTAATTGTATGGGCTGAATCTTCTCAATCTGACTTCGAATCTGCAGAAAAACTGAAGGAGCATTGTATTCACTTTACACAGAATATGTTTAAAAAATGCTCATTAGAATCTGAGGAAACGTCCGATATCAATGTGACTGTCAAGTTTTCTGAATTATTTAAAGGTACAAAACACCTTTATTTGTCTTGCTTTTGAAGCACTTTTAATTATTTTTATATTTGAAGTTAAGAATAAGAATTTCCTATTAATTAGTAATGCGTAAACACCATTTTCTGTGTGTTTATAAGATCTTTTCATTGTGTTCATTAACCAACGCTTCTTAAATAATTTTATGATTCATTTTCAATACATGATTTTATTTAATGATTATCTCATTAAATATTTAAAGTTTCAACTTTGATTAGTACATATTCCAAGCAAAGAACACGATGAATTGATTGTAATTCAATGATTTTGAACAATGCAGTTTTCGATTAATATGTTTCATAAGCATAACATCATTCTTCTTTAAACAGTAAAATTGATGGTCAATGGGACCGCAACCTAACGACCAACACAATAAATCCATTTTCTGTTAATGTATCGATATCATAAGATGATAAAAACCTTAAGTTTTAATACCAAATATATGCATTTTGATTTTTTTCACATTGCAACGATTAAGCTTTGTCGTTCAAGATAAGAATATGATTTTTCTGTATAAGCGTGTCTTGTAAAAAAGTTGACTCAATGGTTTTTTTTTTATCTATAAGAATCTGCAAATGATGACGCAGACCACCTTGAATGTGGCAAATGTGGACAAGTATGTCTCAGCATCAATTTGTTCATAGCACACAAAAAGGAATGTGTAACAAATCGTAAGAGACGAAGAGGAAACGAACAAGATGAGTCGAAGGTATGCATTGGACAATATATTTGTACGGAGTTAACTTATCACAAGGAAATAATAAAAACTAATATACATACGTTCTTTTCAGTGAATCAGATTGTGTGATGTTTGGATTCAAAACAACTTGGTCCTAAAAAAAGAATCAACAAAACACGATCATAATTTGATTACACAATAACAAAGTTAATTCAATTTTTCTTGATAAGCATATATGAAGTTAGGAAGAAAGTGACAGTTCGTCCATGTCTTAGACTGATTTTTTTTAACAATTTTCTTGTTCCGTCATGATGTGTTTAACAAAGGACTAATTTGGAGCTATGTGTTTAACAAAGGACCAATTTTGAGCTATGTGTTTAACAAAGGACCAATTTTGAGCTTATAAATTACAACTAGCCTAAAAATAACTTTTTCTTAACAATTTGTAAATGCAGTTGATCAACAAGTTAAGACTATTCCCGACACAGTATAGTATATATAAAGTTTTCTAGATCTGTAAAGTAGATGCATTATGGAGATTTTGCTGAAAAAAATGCTCAGTGATTACACATTATAGAATGAGAAAATGTACAGTATATTTAATAAATAAGAGGCAATAGAAGTATAAGAAAAAACCTCATTAAAGATACCAGGCTTATAATTTTGACGCGCGTTTCGTCTACACAAGACTCATCAGTGAGGCTCGAATTGAAAATGTTAAAGGCCAAATCAAATACTAAGTATCCGGTGGATGTTCATATAGCATAAACGTATTCGAACAAAGACATAAAACCTCAGCGATACAGAGAAACTCCAAATGTAAGAAGAGTGGGTGCTTTGACAGGCAAATCGTTTCCTGTAATAAATGCTTCTTCACTCTTTAAAACCATAGGACAAACTCGTTAAATTAACGAATCAGAGGACTTTTCGTGAATCAAAAGATCTTAGACTGCGAAAATATTGTCGCTAATGAGGTGATAAAAATTGAGACAAAAGATAACAGAAGAACCCTAAAACTGCATCTGATTATCAGGTTATATTTCAAAATGCCCTATGCACATGTCAGAAATTTACTTCTCAGTACTCGACAGCTTGAATCAAAAACTCGAAATTTAAAACCACCAAAGTTAGAAAAGTACAAATGTAAATACTTATTACAAAACCAAAAAACATTTACGTCAAGTTGATAAAAGTTTTTAAATGTCACAACATTTTTAATAGTTTTAATTCATTTTTAAAATGTGATGATGTCTAAGGGTAAGATTTTAGTATATTTCCAATCCGTAATGCCGAGTAGTTTGATATAGCTTATCGACGTATTTCTTAAAAGTAACATGACAGGCATCACTTGTGAACATAATCCACTTACCCTTACGGACTACCTGAGATCATCCTCTGTTTTGTTAGTATTCATGTTGTTCAGTCTTTTTTTAGTTCCCTACCGACGAAGTCGAAGAGGACTTTAGGTTTGCACTCCGTCCGTCTGTCTGTGTGTCTGTTTGTCTGTATGTCCATCCGTCAGTCCGGCAAATCAGTTTTCCACACTTTTTTCTTCGTGCTTGAAGCTATTGGTTTGATATCTGGTATATAGTTTCATGATGACAAGTTACAGATCAAGTTCGAATTTTGTTCCGGTCTGATGATTTTGTTAAGAGTTATGGTCCTTGGACTAAAAAAATTCACTCAAATAATCAGTGTTCCACACTTATTATCGTCAAGCTTGAAGATATTGATTTGATAATAGGTATTTAGTTCTATCATGACAAGTTATAGATCAAGTTAGCATTTTGTTCCAGAGCAATGAATTTTTAACCGGTAGATGACTATGTGTTGCCATGCAATACTCTCAGAATGCTTGTTCTTTTTTGTCGTTTGTTTGTATTATTGTAATGGATTAGACAGGGTTTTTTTTCTAACTTATGAGTCTGAATATTCCTTTGGTATCTTACTTTATTATCCAATTAAAGGAGGTTGTATGATAAGAGCCATTATTTGGCCCTGACATTACAAAAATAGAAAGATGAATTCAAGCTTTCCAAAACTATATTTATTTTATGGATTAAATGACCAGGTCAATATAATCCAGACACTTTGGTGCAGGAGAGTCACTTGTGATGTGCCTATGACGTCAATCACAGGTCGAACTTTACGTATGGAAGAAAATGGCTAAATCAAAATAAGTATCAACTTTACCAAAAACATATTTTCGAAACGTTAACATCTTTGTTAAATACATTTTGTAGCAAAATCTCTTGTTTGTTACAGATGCTGCTCGTTTCTTCATATAATTGAAAAGATCTCAAAGTGAGACTATATTGGCTTAAGTTGTTTTGCACTAAATTAACGAAATCGTTTGAAGTACTTATGCCAATATGTTAAACAAAACACAAAGATGTTAATACTCAGGTCTGACAGACTTATTATAATACTTTTTGATTTTCGACTTCAAGGAAGAGAAAACGTGACCTTATTTTACGTTCTCCTTTTTTAAGTAGCAATATTAAAGTAATATATCATCGAACAGGTAAAGTTTTTTGTGAAATTATATTGAAACTATTTAATTTACCTATCAGCGGTAGCATTTATGCTTTATTACTGAATTGAGTAGAAAAGTACGAAGAGGAAATGATATTTTTGAAATTATAGAAAAGTAAGCTACAACTACTTACAGGGAGATATAAAATCTGCTCCAAAGAGTAAACAAAGAAAGACTGTTAGAATATCAAAAGAAGAAGAGAACTTTTTACGAATATCAGTGTTGATAATGAGGGTCGCTACAGCTGCAGTAAGAATTGCCTTTAATAAAGAATTCCATGGGGATGCATTGCAAAGAACATTATTTGAGGATCCTAAAGTCTTAGTTTCCTTAAAACGAGAAAGAATTATAAGTCAATTTGATTTGCAACAAATATTTCGAAGATCTGGTAAGTCATAATAGTAAAAAGTAAAAAGTAATACCACGTATTTTACAAAACTTTGCGGAATTCTTGGTCCTCAATTGGTCTTGAATTTCGTAACGTATTTTACTTTTCTTTTTTTTTTTTTTTTATTAAAGCGGCAATGATGAGGCTTTTGTTGACGATACAAGGCCTGGCGTACAAATTTATAAGCCTGATAGTCCCTTTGATCATTGTTTTTTTTAGATTTTTGAATAATTCAACATTTTGTAAACCGAAAATGATAGTATCAATGTAATATATTTTTATTGTTGCTTAAAATAGAAATTAAAAGTAGGAAATTTTGCCAGTTCTTATTTCAAAATATAAATAAGAAGATGTTGTATGATTGTAAATGAAACAATTATTCACTTCGGATCAAACATCAAGAATGTGAGAATACATTTGTATACAAGTCATCGTACAGTCTTCCTTGGTAGTAAAACAAATATAGAGTATAGGAACCTCTCAAATAGCTTGGGTTAAAAAAATGCTGCACAGTTCAAATCGAGAAAACTGATAGCCTGATTTTAAAGCAGTAAACAGAACATGGTTATTACAGACAGCAAATAATGACATACTATGAACTGCAAGATACTATAAGTTATATGGTTCGCTACTGACCCCCTACGGATCCATAGAGGGTTGGTAAAATCCATAGGGTGTGAGGTTAAATAACGAATTTATCGCACGCAGGCTTTTCACTGCTGCGTTTTGTAGAAAAATAAACAATTAAATACAACAACATCAATAGGTGACGTCACTAATAACAGAAGACGTGACGGCATGAACCCCAAATGAAATCTACGGATCCATAGGGGGTCACCACGTGACGGTGTTAAACCAATCACAACGTCATAATTTACCCGCGGTGCGATAATGGGAAAGAGAAGGCTAGTGAGGCAAAATGTAAGTAAGTTAAAAACATGATTTGTAGCCATCTATTCTCCAAATCAGCGGGGACATAGGCTTGAAATATAATCGTTTTCCCATTTTGTAAGTACCTTTTTAAGACACACAGACTATTGCCTACAAAATACGATTGACGAACTGGAATAAGCAAAATCCTTTTTTTTCTGTTGAAAGATTTTTACCAACAAATAATTGTTCGTTTCAGGGCTAGCATCGTCATATTCCTTTAGTTTGAAGTTTATGATTTGGTTGATACAATATCGAACCCCAAGCGATGTTTCTCGTGGGTTGCAAGATGATCCAAAACATATCAGTATCCACGCAGGTTTATCAAGAATTTTAAAATATAAAAACAAGATAGCTCGCATGATAGATCCTAAATTACAAGAGGACAAATTAGAGGAATATTGGACTGATATTTCCAAGGTAGAATATATTTTTTTCTATAGATTTGGAAAACCGAATTTTCAAATAAGAGCATCAATACATAACAGGAAAGGTTTAAATATTGAAATTTCATTGTATCGTAAGAACTTTACAATTTGCATATACTCTGGACGAAATATTATATCAGTGTCTGTATTTATTTAAGACAATTATTCCACAATAGAAGTGATCTTGATTTCAAGTCCTCCAAATAATCGTTTTAACAAAATTTCTATTTATTTTATTGCTAGGAAATAATTGTTGTAACAATGTTCCTCTGGTGTTATAAATAAAACTGTCATACATTTATCATTATAGGCTATTGTGCGACTTGGAGGAGAAGGATTTTTGCAGAAATGTAATGACCTGAAAGTCAGCATATTAAATGAAAATTACATTGATATGTTGACAGAGATAATAGAAATTGCTAAATCAAATGATTCAAATCAACAAGGCTTTAAAAGTAAGTTTTAACTCTTTTTGATTCACGACTGGCTTTAAATATTTTTTAACTGGCGATTTCGTTTGAATTCGTTACTCATTTATGCCAAAACATATATGCGAGCATATTATTGATTCAATTACAGCGAGTACTGTCAGTAAGTACTTTGTGTGTAGACATTTTGTTAGTTGTTTTGTGCTTTTTATCGATGTGATGAGTCAGTACCATTTCAACTGATTTTTGTTTGTTTATTCTAATATACCAATGTCACAGGCCTGTTGAGGTAAAGGCACCAGATATTAGCAACAACAGTTTACCGAATGGCCTTTCACAATGAGCAAACCACATACCACATAGCGAGTTATAAAAGGTTCCGACATGACACATTTATACAATTCAAACGAGAAAACTAACGGTCTGATAGAAGTACAAAACAATAAACGACAAACGACAAACAGCAACCAACGAAATCCACTGAATTACAGGCTCCTGACTTAGGACATGCACTGACAGAATGTGGCGGGGTTAAACATGTTTGCTGCTGCCATATATCTTAATTCGGATCAAAACAAAAAACAATATACTTAATAGGAGATATATTTATATACTTTGCTTTGTGGTTTAGTTAAGCTCTATTTAACAACACTCTATACATATTGTTTCTATGTTTCTAGTGAACACATCTGTATAATTATGCAGAAACAGTGTTTTAATGATATGCGTGGATGTATGAATGAACTATTAACCTTGAATGAGGATTTGAAACATTTAAAAACAGTATCTTCAATTTAAACAACCATGCTATCTATATTTCTTTAATTGTTAATATTTTTTTTCATTTCATAGGGTTTCTAGACAATTTGTAAGTATATAATCTTACGTTTTTCTTTCTTTTTTCCTTCTTTAGAAATTAGTATTTACACATTTATATACAATACAAACCAAAGGCATAGTAGTGGCATATTAAGTACGAAGATATTAATTACCTACTACAAAGAAAATGCGTGTATCTTTTAACCCTGTTGAGGTAGATGGGGTGTTTAAATTATAATCCATAGAATTTTTTAATAATTTGCCAAAATGTAGTTTATAGCATGCTTTTTAAAAAAAAATAATAAAAAGAATGGGTCACGGGGCTTATTTTCACGCTACAGGTTGTGCAAAATTGACAGATTTTGTATAGATTATGTATGGAAAACCTAATTTTCTGCCATAAAAGGAAAACTACACCATAGAATTTTGAGATAAAATATGAGAAGATAGCTCTAATAGTATGCTTTCAGATAAGAAAAAGAAAAAATGGGGTCACGGGACCCGTTTTCTTGCAACATAATAAAATAGAAAAATTACTAACACATTCTATTGTAAAAGTAACTTTATCTGAATTATCTGCCCTTACATTTGAGTTGCCTCCCCTTATGTGGCAAGGTTGGACAAAATAGAATCAAACAAAAGTATACTGTTTTTTAGTAAAATACAACCATAAATATGATAAAATATGTCATTTTCTATATTCAAATGAAAATTCTTACACATGAATTACCTACTTCTCTAAAAATTTGCACCTTTTATTAAAGATCTAGACCGATTGTTTTCTGGTATTTCAAAATCCAAGATGGAGGAAGACACCCTATCTACCTTATTATTTACATTAATTTGAAAGCCTTCATCTAGTGAATTTTCACATGAAAGAAGTGCTATTCGTTGATGCATAGTCATCCGATAAGATTGTTATTGACATATTACCGTTAGGGATTACATTGCGTGTGCATCATAAATCCACCTAATTAGGGTTAGGGTAATGGTCATTGCAAAAGGTGGTGTTTTTCTCTGACTGTTAATGACGTCTTACACTAAATCCATTGGATGTTGGATGTGTACTGATTGATATTTTAGTCTTAGATACATGATTTATTTCGTTAGTTGTTATTGCTTTGAACTAACTGTCAGTAAATGCGAGTACTCCCAGATCTGTACTTAATGTCTTTTTGTTTTTGGAATGTATAAGTACCCATCCACGTCCACTTTGTGTTTTTGTTAGATGTATTTCTATTAGTATCCATCTGATGAATTAATCCTTTTTCAACTGATTTTTATAGTTTATTCTTATGTTGTACTGTTACACTACTGTGCCAGGATAAGGGGAGGGTTGAGCGCTCACAAACATGTTTAACCCCGCCACATTCTTTATGTGCCGGTCGCAAGTCAGGAGCTTGTAGTTCAGTGGTTGTCGTTGGTTCATGTCTGTCATATTTGTTTTTCGTAAACTGTTTTGTTATAAATTAGGTCGTTTGTTTTCTCAATTGAATAGTTTCATATTTTTTATGTCGGGGCCTTTTATAGCTGACTATACAGTATGGATTTTTCTCTTTGTTGACGATGGATAGATAAATAGATAATACACTTAATGAATGAGCACAGTTTTCTTAAAACTGATTATTTTTTTAGTATTAAAAAGTGAGAAAATTGACATGATGTTTGGACTATGTGAAAATTTACTTTGAAGAAATAATTTTCGTTCGTTCTGCAATTGAGAACACCAAAACAAATAATGAAATATGTGACTTAAACTTAATGAAATGGTCTTACACATGTATATGAAAAACACTTTCATTACTCAAAACTTTCATCAATACAATTGCTTAATACAAGGTTCTACATCATGCCGAAGACAGTTTCACCAAGAACTACACCTGAATCAAACTATATAGGGATTGCTGACCTGCTACTGAAAAATGGTCCTCCTGCTGTGAGAATTATATTCGACAGGGAATTCCATCCTGATGTATTGCAAAAAGAGCTTAGAAAAAGAACTGCACGATTGGCGCATTTGAAAGGTAGAGGATTGATAAATCCAGCTCAGTGGAACAAACTATTTACAAGAAAAGGTATGTTTAGTACAGTTTTAATGATTTTTAATCAAACTCAATTTCTTTCAAACTTTCAAATATCTAGTTCTGAGAATTATAAGAATAAACTTTAAATGTATTAACCGTTTTTTATATTTAAGATTAAAAGAATTGGAATTCATCATTATTCGAGTTTTTATTGCATACTTAAAAATATGTATCAATGATGTTATTATAGAGTGTTATCGTGTTTGTTATTCAGTGAAATAAAAAAACAAACAGGTGATACCAGGGAGGGGAGTTAAATAAACTTTAAGTGGAAGAACCGCAACAATTTGAATTACCTAAAATACAAACAAACTATAACAGTATACACAACATGGGAACATATACTCCGCAGGATTAAGGATCTTTTGGTCCTAGATACGTACTCAGAGTGTTGCTAACGGCAAGAGAAATTCCGGTAATAAGTATCGTTCGGTGATGTCATAACCGACATGTGGTCTGACGTGTAATTACTTGTTGAAAGTATCCGTGGTAATTTTTGACTAAAATTTTGGTTAACTTCAAGTCACAACAAAAATCAAATTACATCCTGAATCTTTCGAAATGATTACTTACCTTTTTCAGTAAAGACCCTTTGTTAAACACTTCCTTGTTAGCAATTAGTTTCAGTCATGAAAATGAGAATTCCGGGGGTCGTATCAATTTGAAGAAATATACTACAAATGCAAGTGTTTGCTAGTATAGAGTACATGATAAGCTGGTCTAAATATGGAAATCCAAAACGTGAACAGTGTGTAATCTACAAAATCTCTTTTAAGTAATAACATGGAACAAGAATTGTCTTTTACGAATAAAGAAAAAAATATCCAGTTGGTTACAACTGGAATTCCGACTGTCTAAATAACAAAACATTCACCAGATGTACAAACAAACTTTATCCATCAAAAGCTTAAAGTTTAATATTATATTATGCAATATGCTTAGAAAATTTTCATATAACAATAGTTTATGGATCTGGTATACAGGGGGGTACACCTTCACTGTTCGACATTCAACAATGACCATATCCTATATATAATAGCAATCTATTAAAGCCATCGCGATATAACAAAATATTAAACAATGTAATCAAGAAAAACCAAAGGTCTGAATAAAGTACAAGACAAAAAACGAAAAACAAACCTGATACACAGGAAAAAAGACAACCATCGAATATATGTCTCCTAACTTGAAATAGGCACAAAAACAGAATATATCGAGGGATTAACATAAACTCGTCATTGATACCAGGCTTAAGCTTAAAGTTAAATATCAGACGCGCGTTTCGGTTACTAAAGATTCAATAGTGACGCTCTGATAAAAAAAAGTTTAAAAGTCCAAGTTAAATGTTTGCGGTCGCATAATGTTGAGGCTGTATTTTGCATTCGTACATTTAGTGTAGGTTTTTTTTAAAGAACTTAAAGACATCAATTGTATTGTATGTTTTAGATAAAAATAAATCAAAAACCTTTGATCTATCTCTGATGATTTGCTTGATTCGAAACTTCACAACTATAGACGTTACATACCAATTGCCACGACCAGAAGATAAATGTGAAGGAGCAGACCTATCACGGCTTGAATACTACAGAAAACAAATCGCCTACAGTCAAGAATGTGACTTGTCAGTCACAGTTTTTGAGAAGTACTTGACTGATATAACTAACGTAAGATTACTTTTTTTTGTACGTTAAGGACAAATATGATATAATTAAATTCCAGTTTATGTTTGGTTTCTTATATTTGTTTCATTCCTGTATTTTGTTGATCAGTGTAACCATAATATCAATATCTTATAAAAAATAAATGTAAAGATTAAACCGTTGTTTCGGTGCAAATTGATATAAATATCTATTAACATGAAGCTAAATTGCATATGTGACATCATTATAATGATATTTAAAAACGCAGTTAAGGATCTAATATGTGATACTTAGGATTTTCAAAATAGATTGTGTTTATAATTCTGAATCTGAGGTAGTTTGTTTTAGTTATAAACATGATTTAAGATGAATGAGGTTACAAAGATGCAAAAGTATTGCTTTGCATGTAGTATACAACAACACAAAGACATTTTAAATTGCTCTCTTTTATGTGAGATTAATTACAAATTGTACTTATTTACTCAGTCGACAATGTTCTTTATTAAAACAAAGAAATAATAAAGTAAACACATGATTGATTGATTGTTGGTGTTTGATGCCACTTTCAACAGTCCTGCCTATATCGTGGTGGTCAGTTTTTATTATTGGGGAAGCCGGAGTACTCGGGCAGTACCACACACAGCAAAGTGAAAATCCTAGACAATTAAGATTGAAGTCGAACGCACCTGCCACGTGTTGAGTTTGAACTAACAACATCAGAGTTGACACGCTAGTGGTACAGTAAATGAACTACTTAGTTCACTAGGCCACTACGACCCCAAGGTAGAAAGACAAAATTAATAAGTGTCTGTTCTTTGTTTTTAGGCTATAATCAGAATTGGCGGTACTATGTTTTTGCAAAGATGTGAAGACTTGAAAATGGGTAAACTGGATCAAAAGGACAAAGCAATATTACCTGAACCAAACTCTAGCAACATTCCAAACTAGCATGCTCCTGACAATTTGTTTACAGTAATAAGCTATGATAAATATCATGTCTTAATTAATTTCTTATTTCAATTATGTTAGTCATTTGTTCGAGATTAAAGGATTGTGTATCGATACATATTTTTGATAACAATACCCAAGAATTTACCTCCCTTAACTTCTCCGTTGATAAATTGATTATTACGACTTTTGGGTTGAAACTCCAACAAACAAATATGAGCATAGATTAGATATACTTTAGGTCCCATTGGTTAAAAAAACTCCTCGTGTATTCTCGTACGTTTAAATTCCTTTTTTTTTTAAATCTGTGGGTTTTGGCGATCAATAGGAATTTAAATTCGTTTTCGATAAAGAACTATTTTAATAAGCACTCATTAATAGAAATCTTAGTATTTAGAAGGTGGGTCGAGTGGAATAGAACGCTCAATTCTCCTGGTATGGAGTAATTGAGTGGCCATGAAAAAGTACGATGATGAAATACAAATTTCCCCATAAGAAACATTTACCTCATATCCATTGTTTGTAATGGTCATATAATTTATCCATCCGTCAACTTCCATTTTTCACTACAGATTCATTCATGCTAGATTTGTAATATAAGAGGAAATAGCTCATTTTATACAAAAATGTATGTTATATGTAACGTTGACTGTTTTTAAAGAAAGATGTAGCAAAAATGATTAATAAATATGACTAGTTATCTGTGTTTGCATTACTGCAAGAACATTTTTTAGCTTAAAGAATGGCGTATGAATAAAAGCCCTTTCATTGATAATATTTTTTAATTTTTTCTATGTATTGTGTGCTATTTTGTCCCATGTACATTTACTCAATATCCTTTTATTTTTTATTGGTTATATGTCATACTAATGTTCTAGAATGTCTAAATTGAGATTTCACAAAAATATATATAAATTATATTACACACCATTATTTCGTTTCAATAAGTAATATGAATCAAAATAATTTCATTGAATTAGATAAATCTTCGCCCTCTTTAACAGGTAACTCTTGTCTCCTATTACAGGCGTATTTCCCGGTCATGAAAAGTACTTGGGTAAAAGTAAATCGCAGTTGTTTACCTAGAGCTGCATACGCCGAAATGTTGTGCGTCTGATTTAGTATGATAATAAACTAATCATAGATACCAGGATTAAAACTTTGTACTTATAGACGAGAAATATCTTATTTTTTTTTCACATCGGTTCTCTCGCTTTTGGCCGTCATGTTAAAACAAAACCTAAGGGCACTTACATACTTATCTGAAAGTGATGAGAGTGGTATGTATGAAACATACAGTAAAAGAATTAGGATAAAAATAGAAGGAAAAAATAGAGCAAATAATATATATCTGGATTAAATAAATAGAATTTTTATGTTTAACTTTAATTGATAAGTTCCGTTTGGATCTTATATTCCGGCGGAAATGAATCGTTTAGTTCATAAAAGTTACATAAATACAAAATAAACAATCAACCAATATGTGCACCATAGAGATCTTTTATCAATTATGTCATGTTTATGAGTTTGTCTGAATATTTAAATTCCCATTTTTTACCTAAAACGCTCCGATTTCAAAATTAAGAAAATTATCGTAATTTTGGTATTTGTTCACAATTACTATTATAAACTCATCAACACTAATTATCATGACACCACTTAACGATATTAAGGCAGCTAATTTTCTCTTTTGTCATTACCTCAGTTTTCAAGTTCGGACTGAATACTAGGTTTAGACATATTCATGAACATATTTGTATTAAAAATCAAAGAAGTGTTACCCCTGACCACCGTAGCATATCAATTTAGAACGGATATTTTGTTGGATTTCGGGTTGCTGAATTTTTATTTTAGTGTATAAAATAGAGAGATGTGGTATGATTTTCAATATGACAACTATCTTACAAATGAAGCAGATTTAAGCATTAATATGTCACCGTACAGTCTTATTGTGTACTATTTTGTACACTTGTTTGTCTTTCGTCGTTTTTCATTTTGGCCAGGATGTTGTCTATTTTTCATACATCTACATTTTTTATTGTCCCTTGGTATCATGTTGCATTTTGTACACAGTTTAAATGGCTTGCAGAAAGTATAAATCACCATTCCTATCAACTTTCATTAAGAGCCAAATTCTGGTAAGATTAACTAAGCTTTAGGTTGATGAAACCTTAGTTTCCGAAAGAAAATTTAAATTGTTTAACAGTGCATTTAGAAAAGAATGTTAAAAATGATCTCAATACTGAAACACTGATCATGACTATTTATCTGATAATACACAAGGGGACTAGCAATCAACCAGTGTCGGTATTTGAGACAGTGTTGTAAAATGAAAATAACAATTGATCAATTTGGCGTGCACGGAGTGCTTTCCTTCGTCTACCAATTATTAATAAATGAAATCTTTGTGTCCGTTTTTTTTCAATTCACTAATAATTGTTTGAAGCAAGACTATATTTTTCTTTCGTGTTTTGCCTTCAAATGCTGATCAGGTTTGGTCAAGGAATTCAACAAAACCGTGAATTTCTGCATTGTTTATGACGTTGCTATAAGTAAGATACTGTAACATACAGTAAACAAAACAGACGTAAAGGACTGCATAATTTCATATGAGAAGATTAAATGCTTTGAGCTTTATTACATTAAATACCTAGTTTATTTTATAGTTTGTTCTAATGTTGTACTGTTACACCACTGTTCCAGGTAAGGGGAGGGTTGGTGCCTTTAAACTGTTTTAACCCCGCCACATTATGTATGTGCCTGTCCCAAGTCAGGAGCTTGCAATTCAGTGACTGTCGTTTGTTGCTGTATATCTTATTTGTTTTTCGTTCATTATTGTGTACATAAATCAGGCTGTTAGTTCTCTCGTTTGAATTGTTTTACATTTGTCTTTGCAATTTGACTAAGAGTGGATTCCCATGCCGGTTTATTATAAAAGTTAAAAGATGAGATTGACAAGGTGGTATTGACAATAAGACAACTTTCCACCAGAGATATAATTGTTAGCAGCAATAGTTCAGAATTTAACAAATATCAATCCTACATTGCATAGCAATGTATAAAATGCCCCGACATGATAATTGAAGCGAGAAAACTAGCTCTAACATGCACGAATAGCAAGAGACGCTTGCTCTGTCTTGTAGCACTTCATTTTGGAGTTTATGTGATACCCTCGGGGTTTTTTGTTTGTTATCCTGACTTTTATCTTTTCAATTAATGCATACGATCCAAACACGGGTAAACTACTGTTCTACAGAGTTGGTTAATTAATATGCTAAATAAATATTAGACATGATACCAACATACATAATTATATGCAAACCTTCATACGCACATACCATTTACAATTAAAAAAATTTCTTCAATGAAGAATGTATTTTTTTCTGAAAATCTTATTTTCTTCCTGAAACAAATTATCGTATCTATGCATCACCTTTTCACAACTGCTATTTTTCCAGACAAACAATTCCTTGTATACAGTCCATACATAACAAAATATCGGTTATGAAGCATAGTTTGTTATTTTGACATTAATTATTGTATTTAAGGTTTTACATGATTTAAATATGTACTACTCAGTCAAGGGATTATATCCCCATAGTTGTTAAAACCTAGTGGTATTATGCTTAAAGTGAATTGATATTATGCTTAAAGAAAATTGATATTATGTTTAAAAGAAATTGATATTATGTTTAAAGGAAATTGATAATATGCTTAAAGGAAATTATTAGCCCATACTTGATTGTCGTTTGTTGTTGTATATCATATTTGTTTATCGTTTATTGCTTTGTACATAAATAAGGCCGTTAGTTTTCTCATTCAAATTGTTTTACATAATTTTGTCATTTCGGTGCTTTTATAGCTTGCAATGTGGTATGGGTTTAACTCATTGTTAAAGTCCGTACGGTGACCTATTGTTGTCTTTGGTGGAGAGTTGTCTCATTGGCAACCATACTAGCGTTTTGTTTTCATTTTGCAACGGAGCTTAGATGACAGCTTTTTATCCTGTTATCTTTTGAGTATATATGTTGTAAATTATAATAGATGACACCTAAAGAATTAAAAGTGAATGCATGTACTAGTATGTAACAATAAATTTATAATAAAGAAAAACAATTAAAAAGTTCACTAATTTAAAAACATATCGTTGTTTACTTAACCACTTTTAACATTTATCATGTGTTACGTTCAATCACAATCATTCGTTCCCTAAGGAATATATATGTAATATTGTCATTTCTACATATCTCATTTACTTTGACAATATATTACCAAATGAATAGCTGTGCACTTTTTATACAATATTTTGATTTACTCGCATTATTTCTATTTATACCAAGGAAACAAAAGTTATAATTGACCACGTTATATTTGATGTGATAAATATAATTAGCTGTACATTTTCAAATATTCAAAACATTGTACAAAAAAAGGTCGTCCGCATGTTCATTCAAAGAATTGTCTGTTAGATCAACTAAAAGTTTGTCCGCAGTGAAAGCTTGATTACTGAAATATTGTGATACTGTTTACTCGCGTGGTGGCATTCTAGAGAACTTTAAAGATCTTCACAGAAAATTTTAGATCTCGGTCTTTCTCTGAAATAAATTTTGTCTACCCTTTACACCATCATACCACGTAACAATGTGGAAACTCGTTTAAAAGACATATTATACAATGTTTTTCACCGTGAAAAGGATACAGTACGCTACAGATATATTGTTTCGGGATACAATTTGGCATATTTTGTTTAAATAAACCCGAGTATAAAACATGCCACATCGACGAACAAGTGATCAGTACGCTTGAGTTTCTCATGTTTGTGGGATTCATAGGTAGACACTTTTAGCAGATTATTAGCATTCGCATGGGAACCAACTGTGCGCCTCTACTTTTCGACCTTTTCGTTATTTCACACAAGTCAAAGTTCCTTCAAAAACTTGTAAAAAATAAGGAAATCAAAGAAGCTAGATCATTTAAATAATGTAGATACAATGTATAAACATTTGTTCGTTAAAAAGATACCACGAACCCGCAGCGCTAATCAGTTGTGTTTATTATTTAAATTATTGTTGGGACGTCTTTTCAATATTACAGTCCTTTTTTAATTGGGCTCTATTATCAGTGAGTTCAAATAACCACATAATCATCTTAAATGATTCACAAGGAAGAACAAATAATTAGAAGTATACAGGATGTGGTAGTAGATTTAAATGATTAAATAATATTTGAAAACCAAAATCGTATGCACTTTCAGTAGACTGTACTAAAAATGCCATTGAATTATTAATAATCTGAATACTACTATTTAACATGTTTAACAAACAAGGCATATTCGAACTAATTTCTAAGTATATATATAATGCATAGGTGATAGAATTTTTAGCAAGAAACATAATCACAGGCCCATCAAAATTTACTCTCATAGAAATTTGCCAATATGCGAATTGAAAGATATGTATTGAAACAGATGATGTCAGTCTAGTTTCATAAAAAAAGGACGAATTGAATATTATCATTTTCTTTTGTAATACGTGAAATAGCCAAGAAACCAAAAAATAAACGGGAAAATCCGTTCTTATTGCAAAAATAACAACAATAACACACAAAATAAGAAAAAAAGAAAGAAAGAAAAAAAGAAAAAAAAACAAACAAACAAGAGAAAACAGGAATTCAAACCTAAATCAAATCTTCTCTAATATTTATGATATTTTCATATTTCCCTCATCTCTAGTGAAAAATTTGTTCTCAGCAAATGATTGGATAATCAAAATTCGT